ACTCTGCCAGTAACTTACTCACGGCTATCTATTTAAATGGATTCTTATCTCTTCTTCAAGTTTGAACTAATTGTTCTAATATTAAGTATAATAGCTTTGTGCTACTTTTTCAATTAAAACTAGAATACTACATAGCTATTAGATAGATAGATATAATACTATATTGTACACTACAATATAAATATACAAAAGAAGAAATAAACAAATAGATGATGCACGTGAGGCGACCTTATATTATAAGCAATAGATATAAGCGATATCTTCCAGGCAACCTTAGGGCGTAATAGTAATTATTTATATGAAATGTTAGCTGAATAGATAAGTGCAGAAAAATAGCATATTTTTGTATCATTTGTATCATACACACACACACATACACACACACTCGACATATATAAATTTATAATATATAAGGTATATTTATTTTTAATTTATGAATACTAGCTTTTTATTAGTATTTATTTTTAATAATGTATTACATTAAAATATCCTTCGAAATGGTAAAAAAACCTCACTTTGTATCAAATAGCTCATATGTAATTGATAAGAACAGATACTAGAGTGTCAGGCGCTGTATGCTGTAATACAGGTCTCATAGTACATATGTATGTATATCTTTTATGTCGAAACAGCTTAAAATAAGTTAAAATGAGTTGAGAAACTGTGATTGTCCTGTATTATTATGTATAGTTTGTTTTTATATGTAATATTGTTTACGTATATGTGTTTTATTGCTCAATTATTATTAAACTAGCGACTCACCCTCACTCCACTCTTGTTCGTCCCTAGTTACCTTTTAACGTTTAGTATAGATTTCTCATGGATGAGATATTTTCCCGCAGTAAAAAGTATCCTATATGTTAACCCGGATAACCAGCTATCATCATACCAAATTTCATCGAAATCTGTTCAGTGGTTTCTCGTGATGCGTTCCCAGACAGACAAATATCTAAAAACTATAGATTCGGCCTCTGTATCGATAATAATGACTATTTCAATAAGATTTTCAAATCCATTTATTATTTTACTTCTGCACGTCAATATTTTTTGTTTTATCAAAAAACAGTTATAAGTATATCATATTATATTTCTGTTATATATTTTAGTCCTTAATACAAAGTATTCCTTAGTAGTTGAAATTCCTAACACAGTAGGTATAGGTACTTTGAGTTTATGCTATAAGCGCATAAAGTTTTGTAACAACGAGGCAAAAACATACAACTATTAAATACGTTTCTTGTTTCCCGATTCCCTTTATTTCTTTTTAATTTTTAGTTTTGCATTTTTCGGCTACCTTCTACGGTTCAAAGTCAGCCCCTTAAAGTTAAGTCAGATGGAGCAACAGCGTAGGCTTTGCTATAGGGTCCAGTCTCGCACCTTCAGGTACGAAACTTTGAAAGAATATTAAGGTATTTAATAGCAGAAATCCCCGTTATATTTTACTTTCGTATTAAACAACCATTTTGGGCTATAAAATAATAATTTAAATATAAAACACAACCGCCTGTGTTCGATTATGTTTAATAATCACCTGCTAATCATATGGCATTTGTTTACATTTCTCTTGTAAAGATCTAGATATCTTCAATCACCGCCGTCACCTTTAATTCGACTTCATTAATGTCAAATTTATAATAATATATGCAACATCGCCCCCTCTCCCCCTCCTCCCACGCCCCCGCACTCCCCGCGCCCCCCGCACACTCCACCGTCCCGAATGTGAAAGTGTCACAAGTACCGTTCTTATGAATACGCGTGTAGAATTTTCAAGGACACAAAAAAATTAATATACCTATTTAAAAGAGTTAATATAAAATCAATTAGGAATTTTAGTTTAACAATCTTTTTCTTTAAGCATATATAGCTCCAGAACAATGGAAGCATTTTGTTTATTTTTTTTTGTATGAAAATACGTTGCCTGGCACGTTTCAAATATATATTAAAAATGTATATTTTGTTACAATAGTTGGCCTAGTGTATTAAAAGTAACAGTTTCAACAGTGGAAAGAAAAATCGCAGAACGACGCGGGCGCAGTACTCACAGCTGTCTTATTACTATTAAGCTGTATCTGCACGTAAAGATTTTCGTCTCAATGATACTGATATCGATAAAATATAAAGAAGTTGAGCAATGTAAATCGTATCATACCACGTGATAAATACGGTACAGTTTACATTGTTTGACTATATAATATTTCTTCGATAATCGCGCGAGAAACGCTATTCGTGTAAAAACGGCTTTTAAGACAAAAAAATACTGGGTAATTGCTATGTAGAAAAATACAAATCTAACTTATTTGTATATAATTTTTATAAAAACTTTTCCCTGTTTGATTTTATTAGATTTTTTACAATTTCAATTTTGCGTATTAACTAAAATTATGCAACGTATAATTTAGACATTTTTACTAGTTGTGATATTGTGTCTTATGGTAGAAAATAAATGATTTTATTACTAAAAAGTCCTGGTGGAGCCCAAACACAAGGATTTAGATCATTTTTTTTTATTTACATATAAATTACCTAAGAATTTAAGGTAGTGCAGTCTAATATTATGTCGAAGATCATAAATTCTATCAACTTTAGTATAACAAGTATTATAAGTTTGTTTGAAGAAAATGTAATTAGAAAAGAAATATTAAAAAATCACTTGCAACGTGACTAAATATGTATAATTCTTATATTAATTATATACAGGTGTGAAAGTACGCGCAATACAGGAAAAGCAAAGTGGGCAAGTTCCCATATCATTCAAATGAATGCGTTACTCCTAGATAAGATCGGTGTGATCTGACGCTACTTATTATGAATATATTTGAATACTCGCTCGTCTCAATCACAAACTTAATAGTTATCTTATGAGAAGCTCAGATTATTTGCATTTCCAAAATTTCTACATTTTCAAGGCAAATTCTTATATTTTAATAAGTTTAAGTAGTCAATAGTATATTTTAATAAAAACTCTAGCCCTCACTTCTTAGTTTAATATGTCAACTCTACATTGACCTAAAATAATAACATTTCTCTTGTATAAAGTTGCCAAAAAATATTTTATATTTGAGTGTCTACAAAGCACAGATAAAGACAAGAGCTGGCGCCCGATGACTTCTTTACGACTGTGCACGTCGGTGTGTACGGTGTACGGTGCACGTCGCCGGCGCCTGCTACCTGCCGCCATCGCCACCTAACAAGCGTTAATAACGAACCCATTTCCTGTGCCTTTTAACGGCGAACTTCCCTATAAATCCGCTTTTACTCGACTATGTCAAAAGGATGATAATATTTTCTTTGACATGTATGTATGTTTGTCTACTTCTTCGAATGCTCTATAGCTTAAATGCTCGATGGAACTTACCTTATAAAATGTTATTAGATACTAGACTAGAAGCTATTTAGGTGTATTAGTACATTATTAGAAGTAATTAAGAAAATAATATGAGTATTTTTTACTAAGCAGCTGTCTACGAATGAATATTAAAAAGATTTTCAATTAGGACATACGTATGTACATATACATATGTATGTTCTATATTGGCTATTGCTATTACATTTTATTTAAATAATTCTTATCCCACATAAAGATCTGATCTATTCGATCAATGATAGCGAAGATACCCGTCGAACTGTAATGAACAGAAAGTACATATAATATCGTATATGGCCTGTACTTTTAATTTCTGTTGCTTTAACAAAATTAATTAAAATTTAAACGAAAAGTAGCTAAAAGAAGTGACGCAGGAGAATAAAGGTATCTATCATACATATCTATGCTAATGATAGATACTTAATATATTATTCATTGACTACAACGTCGCCGGTATACTTTTTGACCAACTTCCAAAAAAAGAAATTATACAATTCAGTTGTATGTAGTTTTATGTGTTCATCCAGGTAATAATTTCGCTAATTGTAAATTTATTTTGGCAATTATTTTTTTGATGAATTAGTTATATCTCAAGGGTGATTTTATATAAATTTAAGTTTAAAATTCGTTTACTTCAAATCCTCGCGACAGACAGACATGCGTTTTTATAATCCCTTTGTAGTGTATTTTGGTTAGTCATTAACGGAACGTCGCAAAATCGTAAAGTGTGTAATATATGGGGCGCTAGTTCCGGTTGGGCCTCTCTCGCTTATCTCCCGATCATCGCTGAGATAACGACGGCTGACCGTCACATCTGGGCCGCATTCCCGGACACCTACACCGCTGTCTCCATCAAAATATTATTATGATTTGATAAATTCTTTTTTAATATTATAATTACTGTGAAGGTGTGTTTGTTTGTTTGTCCTTCGTTCACATCGAAACATAGTAACGGTGTGATTTTCTGTATGGAGATAGTAGGAGGGTTATAGTGTGACATAGGCTACTTTTTACCACAAGAAATTATCTCATTTCCACGTAAAACACGTCATAATACCATCCACAACAACTCACCATACCTATGTATATACAATATTATATAGTATATACAATATTTGACAGCTTGTTTGGCTCAGTTTGTAGTAACCCTGCTTGCTGTGCCAGCGGTCGCGGGTTCGAGTCCCGCTGGGGGCATTCATTTGTGTGATGAGCACGAATGTTTGTACTCCAGTCCTGGGTGTTTATATTTATAATATGTATGTATTTAAAATTATACATATGTAGTGTATCAACTATCTGGTATCCATAACACAAGCCTCGTAGCTTACCATGGAATTAGATGGTGCTGTGTGCTAATGTCATAACAAATTTATTTATTTATATAAATATAATATATATAATCTATCTATTCCATACTAACCGTTAAAGTCTGGTACCTAGGGACGAACCCGAACGAAACGAAGCCGAGTTGCTAGTTCTTAATAATGTACTCGTAACAAATCTCATATAGATTTCTTATTGCGATTTAGTTATTATACAAAGTTCAAGGTAGGCATATTTAATATTTATACGATGATTTATGAAATCAACTACCTACTATGGCTGATAGTATCATGTTTCTTCTCAATTTATTTTAATGTTCTCTTTTAAAAATTCAAACAAGCCCGACCGGTATCATGTCGGTATATGACTGGACCTACACTTGGTAGATCGCAGGTTCGATTTCATATTTATATGTACTAGTGTTCACCAAATGGTCGAAATTTGGCGATATATTCATATGAATAGCATTTACCTACCTATATAAAAAACTAACTGTTCCAAGTTTTTTTATGGATAACACTAAAGCTTGTCAATAGCTACTAAACAAAAATAAAAATGGTTGAAAAACAGAGTAGAAGAAGGTACTGAACTGTTTTTTTGTACATACTAGGTATGTGTCGAAGACAGTCTCATTATGAAGGTGAATTAGCGATTAGAATATATGTCACGAACAGCATTTGTGTCAAAGTAGTTTGTAGTACTTGCTGTGTCAGCGGTCGCGAGTTCGAGTCCCGCGGCGGGCATTCATTTGAGTGCTGAGCACGAATGTTTGTACTCGAGTCATGGGTGTGTATATTTATAATATTTATGTATATAAAATTATATAATATGTGTAGTGTATCAACTATCTGGTATCCATAACACATGCCTCGTAGCTTATCTTGGAACTAGATGGTGCTGTGCGTTAATGTCCCAACATATTTATTTATAATATTGAAAAAAATTGATATATGTACCGTATATATTTTGGCTACTAATATGATTTTTTATATTTTTTAAATTAATCTGTACTAAAAAATAAAAATATATGTACAGCAAAAAGCGAACTAAAAATGAAATAATTTCAACTTTCATATCGACCGATATGTTAGTGTTGACGCCCGACGCAAGCCACGGCCGGGCCGTTTGTAATATAAATATCATAATTATTATAACTCATCAACATGTCGACGATTATAATTTTATGTAAAATATGACAGATAGAAATAATATTATACAGCGTGTATGTTAAATAGGCGGGGCGTCGTCTTTATGCAAGATATGATATAGTAGGTATATATTATTATCAAAAAGCAGATCTAACAAAAATTATATACGTAGATACTAATGCTAGGTATATACGTACATGTATGCATGTACAGTAATGTACAAAAGTACACCGTTAAGTAGTGTCGAGAACGACTGCTTGTCCCACACACTGTCTCTCTTTCCATATCAACGTTATTTACAACAATAAGCGAGTACAAAATATGTAGTCAAACCCACCATGAAGAGGCTCGAGCCAAATAAACAAACAAAGGCAAACAATAAAAATAGCTGCGTAACGACGGTGTCGAGCGCCAGTCCGCCCCCGCCTCCCCCCGCCCCGCCGCCCCGCCGCCCCGCCGCCCCGCCGCCCCGCCGCGCCGCCCCGAGGCATTGATACATCAGGAATTAGTATTTTTTACCAGATCCTCGACTAAGCCGCACAAAAAGTAAGGGGCCATTTCGCACTCGGGCCGTGTAGTGCGACCCACCAGTCTCGATGCTATTAAATTAACATTCGTGACGTCACTACATAAATAGTCTATGTTATTGCGCGCCGATTACGACTTTTCAGTGGTTCGACGATATAAAAACCAGGAGATAATGAGGCATGTAAAATTTACACAGCGTTTTTTCCGTGTTCGCAATTTGCAATGCGCTTATCAGTTATATACGTGAGGTTGACTTAATTTGAGATCTCTTTACATCGGTGCTAGTGCTTTCACAGATATTTATTTCTATTAATAAAACTGAGACCAATTTGCCGTGTGCAATGACAACCGGTTAGACATGTCGCACTTTTGTGTAGGAATGGTTTTTAGTAATATTATTATGCAAAAGTAATTAAATTAATACGATATATTTTATAATGCAAGCATTTTGCTTTTGCAGAATAAACATATAATATGAAAACTCGCAGTTCCTAATGTATCCCATTTAAGATGTTCATAAATGATTCTTATGCTCATGTAACGACGTAAAATTATTAAAATATAAAAATAATATATTGTCATTTCTTATAATACTTCAGATAAATATAAAACTTACCTTGTTAATTAAAATATATTAATATATTTTTTTATTTAAAAAGCGATCATTTACTACTAAATATTTTTTAAGGAAATACAAAAAAAATTAAGTAAAAAAAAATTATTTCCTCTTTCTATAAATCAACAATGATTAAGTAGAGGCGGTTGCGCTCCACGACATGGCGCCTGTATTATAACCGTGATAATTTATTGTTTAAAATGTGCCTTCTCATTTCTTCGCATAAGAACTATTCGTATCCATCCCTTTCACTCAAACAATTAGTCGACAGCTCAATAACTCTAAGGGACAAAGTGTCAGTTTTTGCCGTGTTGTGACGTATCTTACGCAAGCGTGGCTCGTGCCTTGTAGCATTCCTCTGGACCCTTTTATCATTTAAAACCACCCCCATTATTTGCGAGATAAATGTACTGATAGGCTTCGCGTCGCATTACATAGCTGATACCATCGATGGATTTGTCAAATAAATAAAATGTATTTTTTTTTGGGTTGCACAATAGAAAGCTCTTTAAAATTTTAACCGACATCACGGAAATCTATTTGTTATTGTAAATAATTAATGCGAAATGCACATTGCTGAAGACAATTAGGAAACATTATATGTATCTATCTACTATACATATAATAAAGCTGTAGAGGTCAAATGTCTGTACATAAAAAAATCTAAAAACCGAGTCAAGAGGATGTAAAAAGGGGTTTTTCAATGTTTTTGTTTTTCTGTCTGTTTAATTAAATGAAATTTTGCATGACGGTACCTACCTTATATCTCGGGTCAATGTTTTAAAATTAAAGATTTTTTTTTAAATTAAAGAGTTCCCGTGGGATAGTTAAAAAATTATAGTAACTTATACAGCTTAGTACACAAAAGCTACTGATTGGATTTTAATGAAACCATACAATAATATAGTTCATACATCAGAATAACTAATAGGCTACTTTCTATCCAAGAAAAATGTACGGTTGCCGTGGGATAGATTTGTTTTTGTTGGTCTAGAGGCGAATCCCAGTGAAGGGAGGGTGATCCGCTAGTTGTGTATTATTAGTTATTACTTTTATATTTCCGAAAAAGTTTGAACAAATTTTTTCGATTATATAAACTAAGAAAATAAAATCCCGAGCTTTATTCTAAAATACGGGTTGTAGAACCAATAAAATTTTATTTTTATAAAACGAATATTCGAACCCAGCTCCAGCTACTAAGACAGGCATCCTCACCGCCGCAACCTTACACCACTCAGAACCCAAAAATGGACGGGCCGTTGTATGTCGGAAGAAAGGCAAAAACTGTCAACGTGCTTAATGATATAGCCTTAATTAGTTGAAAAAGAAATATTTATCCATTTGCAGAACCTTATTTCATTATAACATTAATTACGCTCGACCCGTATCTGTCGCAATAAAATATTATACGTAAATTTTATTTAAACATCTTTATTTGCTAATTAAAAGACCTACTTGGCAATTACAAGTTATTTCCGATTCCCGTTACAGAATCCATAGCTGCCTAAAGATCATGGGATTCTGGGTTCGTTCTGTGCCTATTCTAAGATTTTCGTACAAGAAACTCTCAGAAGTAGTTCAATTTCTAGATAATATATAAATATCTTTGTTATATTCTACGCTTAGGTAGTCGCTATTTTAAATAAAATCATCTTTTCAGATTTATCCACGGATTTATTTAGATTTTTGGTTCCCAATGTTTTGGTTCCGAATTATTTACAGTAATTATGGTCACGGGAGAGACTAAGTTTTAGATGTTTCAATGGGCATCGATGTATTTGACTATTATTTTATATTTGTCCCTACACTAATATTAAAAAATAAATGTGGCACTCGGAGACTGCCGCGGTAAAGCTATTGCATAGCATTTTTTATCAACTTATGCAATTATAATTATTTATTTATTTTATTAATGCAGTATTTTTTTTCCTTGACTTTCTTCATTAATAAATGCACTTTGTTTATTCATATTTAAAACACTTTGTACACAAATTATACGAGTACAGATATTCACTGTTGTACATAGATGATCAATACCTATACACCTATATACTTTCTCACAAACAGCTGATTACGGTAGTTTTCCAATACAACCAATGCCACCTAAAGGCAGGTTGCTGAACTAAAGAGACAAGCGTGATATTTCAAAAAGTCATTAAAAGTTCTGGTATTTATCGATAGATGGAAAAACTAAAAAGTATCACCGCTGTGCCGATCGGAGTGGGGGGGTGTCAGGTTTTTTTCGTTACGGAATTTCTGGATTCGGTCCCCACGCTCAAGGCCCGCGATAGAAGCTATGCAATAGCTTAATAAATAGGTAGAGTTTGTTTGTTTGAACGCGCTAATCTCAGGTACTACCAATTCAATTTGTAAAATTCTTTTTGTATTAGATAATACGTTTATTGAGGAAGGCTATATAGGCTATATATAATCCCGGAAAAGTGTACAGTTCCCGTGAGATAGATTTGTTTTTGTCTATGGATGATCCCGAAGCGAAGCAAGGGTGAGTCGCTAGTATAATATATTAACGGAAACAATCTTTGATCTATTGGAGGCCCTGGGCATATAAGGATCACGGGTACCCTGTGCAGATAAGAGTAGATAAGCAAAATTCTAACATTATTTAACAATTATGTTTATATCTTGACAATCACAACAAATAAATAGATAATTGTTATATGATTCGGAAATGTAACTCTTAGCATTTACAGGTTAGTACTTTGCTAATAAAGGTACCAGGTAGTTTTCACATAAGCAAAATCGTCAATCAGTTGTTCAAATATTCTTTGTCTTTGAGCGCATCACATTCTATTGACATTAGCGACAAACTGGTCAATCTTTCTTGAAGCGTACTACTTAATTAGTTTCCCCCAGATAAGTTTTTCGACTTAATTAATATGCTAATTAGATAATATTATTCAATTTCATTTCCGCATTTCGTCCCATTTTACGTATTTTGATAGCTGACAAATTGAATTTCTTTCACTGTTCAATTGAACATCATTAAATTATATAAAACCAATAAAAGAAACATAACACTAATATTTTATATGTTTGGGGCTAGAAATATTGTCAATCGCACTGCAAATATTAATAATGCGTAGAATGGAACGGTGGCTACAAAGAATGATTTTTTTGAGGGCAAGCCCGTCGATTGTGGGGCCCTGGGCACTTGCCTAGAGGGCTCAATGGAAAAAAGGGGCCTGAATAAAAATACATATTCCTTTTGAAACTACTCAGCAAATTAATTGACAATATTTCGAAATGGCCGCCTATAACAAAATTAGCTTTATCCCGTATACAAAACCCTTTACGGCTTTACGCTACATTGAAGCCAACAACAAATTTCAATGTTAATCTGCTCTGCCATCCTGGTACTACTTACAGTTTAAATTAGTTTTTAATTTTTAAAGAGTTTTTGCTATTTGTGAATTAATTTAACTTTTTACCCGACTGCGGCGAAGCCCTAAGGAGGGTTATGTATTTGACCTGTATATTGTATATATGTCCGAACTTATGTTCCCTCGTAATTATTAAACGGCTTAACCGATTTTGATGATTCATACGTCATTAAAAATCAAAATGGCGGATCCTGGCGTGAATTTGTGCATTAAAAAAATATATAATCTTAAATGTTTTGTAGGACCAATTTTCATATCATAATATAGTTGATGTTTATTATTAAGTTAATACTATGTACATTAAATACATCAAGGTGTACATAAAGGAGCCAAGGCTATTAGATATACAGACATATATGTAGATTAAAACCTGTTAGAACACATGCGAATAACAACTAAAACCTGCACTTTAATGAAATATTACCTGTCCGCCGCCACTGTACCAGGCTTCGATGAATATTAACATTCACTGACTACTTGTCATTTTCTTAGTCTTCTCACACCGTGTCTGCTAGAAAAGACTGAATAATTTTGCTGTTATACTTACGTAAAGGCCGGAAGTTTTAACACAAACTGTTCGGTTCATCAGAAAAAAGAAAAATATTGTTTACCAATAATATTGCCATCTCCTTGTCTCATAACAAAATTCCAGCTATCCAGATTTTCTGTTTGGACTATGAGGAATCCTTCAAAACAAAAAATATTTTATACTATACTAGCGACTCACCCTCGCTTCGCTCTGGTTCCTCCCTAAGGTACGTTTTAACGGTTAGTATGAAATAGAAATCTTTGAATTTCTCGGTTATTCTGTACTATAATATACATATAAACCTTCCTCTTGAATCATTATCTATTAAAAAAAACCGCATCAAAATCCGTTGTGTAGTTTTACAGATCTAAGCATACATATGGATAGACAGACAGCGGGAAGCGACTTTGTTTTATA